TGGTTAAGAAACAGTTCCACAATTTGCTCGTGACTTACAGATTTAGGTTCATCGTCGCTGTCTCAGAGGAGGCACTGCAGGAGAGATGAGCACTGCACAAGGCAGTAGAGAAACTAGGAGCCCCAGCAGCAAACAGAGCAAGGGCTATTGGATGCACAAAGGCACTGACAATACCAATTCCTCTTGAAAACCAAGTTAAAACCATCTCTGTGGAAGTGCGTCCCCATACTGTCAAAGCCTTGGCCAACAGCAGCCAACCTGCAGAAGGCCAATGCCAATGCTGGGCCTCCCAGCCCTCAGATTAGATGCAACAGCCTAAGAAACATGTTGCTTCTAGCCAACGTAGAGCACAAGAGCAAAGTTTACCTTCACCTCTGTTTCAGAGCAGTCTGCAGAGTTTAGCACTCCATTCCATGCCCCCCAGCCTTCAATAACACTCTCTTTACCTTAAAAATCAATGCCTCTTCCCCTCCTGCTTATCCTGCCTGTGGTCCCAGTTAAGGCTCAGTGGGACGCCCACCTCCCGACCTGCATCGTGAGATGGCCGCAGTGTAGCTCCTACCCTGGTGGTAGCCACTTTACGACAGTTGCTCAATATATGGAGACTCATACTCAGCCTCTTCACATCAGGGTGAAGCAAGGGCAAGACTGCAGCTTCACGTCCAAACTGCCTTGCTCCTGCGGCTGCCTGCACAGACCTGGTTGCTGAAGGCAGAGCAGGCCCTGAGAGAAAGCTCAGCACCCTGCGGTCCCCAGCAGAGAGGTAGCAAAGGGCAGTGAGGATCTCAGCAGGTTTAGAGCCTGTTCCAGCCAGAGAGCTGCATTCCCACAGCCTTACTCATACTGACTTGTCTGGGCGGCTCTATGCACCTGTGATGAGGTATATAAACCCACTGAGGTCAGCAGAGGGATTAAAAAGTATATGGGTTCAATAAACCTACATAGGTGCTCCAATTCAGGGAGAAAGCAAGCTGAAGGGTAAGGCTGAGCAGAGGAGCTGGCAGCTGCTTTGACCTCAGCCACACACAGCATGTCCTATGGATCCTGCCCTGCTCCCTCACACCCATGTGTGCCTTGGGCACAGCTTCACCTCCCCCTTGGAAAATGAGGCTCCTCACGCAAGCCCATGGGATGAGATCCTGACATCTTTCTGTACGTTGAACTGCAAAAGTAGCTGATCTGTGTGGGGCTGCTTAAAAAGCGCCCAAGTAGGGAACAGAAAGAGCATCAAAATCAAGCTCCTGCTTTTAGAAACACACTAAAAATACATTCCGCTAGAGGAGATGGCACAACAGCTAAACCACCTGCTAGGAAAATAATACTCAATTGCTAAATTGCCTAAATACAAATGTACATGATTTAGAGACTCTAATTTGAGCAAAGATAGTTGGAATGGGCCAAATTTCAGGAAGAGTCATTAACGCTTCAGAGATGACAGGCACTGGTTTTGCTGCCTGCCTTCTCTTTTTGACTCTCCTGCTAACTTTACCCTCTGGTAACTTCACATGGGGACAGGGATAAATCAAGGATCTATTTCTCTCTGCTCTTTCTTGCAACTTATTTAGGGCACAACAGCTTCACCCTGACACAAGGATATGAAACAGCAGCCTAAAACCTGGCATTATGGACTCACACAGTTACTGGCAATTCACCTGCAGGCAGTGCTCTGGGATCGCAGCTGAGCAGCTCCATAGCAGCTCCTCATCTGCAGGAGCTGGGAGGGAAACCTCTCCTCTTGTCCACCTGGGCTTTCAACACCTGGAGCCCCCTTTCCTGTCCAATCCATTCCTCTCTGTCCTGTGGCAGCTCACTCTTTGAAAGTACTTAGAAGATGGCACTAAAGCTGTTCTTATGTCCTGCTGTCAGGGTACGGCAAAAGCCAGCTGCTCCCTAAAGGATGGGAGACCACAAGAAACCCACCTGCAGGGCTGAGCTTGTTAAATGGAGCCCCTGGGCCCAGGTGGAGTTGATCAGGGCTGTTACAGCCCATTAGTGCCCCAGGGCCCAGCACCTGCTGCTCTACTCACAGCGAAGCCTCTGCTCTGGTGTGCTGGTAAAAGCTCTCATCTGTGGGTGCCAAGTACTCACCCTTTCCTTCTGGCTCCCCAGCCTGCCCTGGAGTTTATAGCTCTCAACACAACAAATCATGAGCTGTGACCTGTTTTTCACTGCTCCTGACTCAAAGGGTTCCCAGATTTACAGCAGCAAGACATGTTACTGGGTGTGTAGTACGTGCTCCTGCTGCTCTGAATTCACAAAGCGAGTGTAAATTAAGGACTAGATTCTTGTGCCATGTCTTTGCTAGCTGACAGGTGATCCCAGAAGGGTCATGCTCCTGCCTTTGAACTTAATAGTTCAGTGTACAGTGTCTTGTTTGTGTCCTGCTTGTACAATACACTGAATACAGACCTGCCAGACAAGATCAGAGCTTAAGTTACACGGAAAGTTACTTAAAATATTATCTACATATTGCAAGAGCTCTGAAAATGAACGATATTACATACTTTGCTCACTGAAAAAGACTCCAGGATAGATTTACTGTGCAAGCTACTACAGCTCCAATCCGAACCAATTAAAGTGAAGAAAGATTTCTTCTAACTTAAGTGTCACGGATCACAGCCCTTCGCCTCCATCTTTTCACGTATCTTTACAGGAACAAGAAGTTAAAGATATGCTTACTAGTTCTAGACTTATACCTTGCACAGACTGGAATTCAATTAACATTATTCTGCAACAAAACTTGGAGAAGCACTTCAGAGTTGCTGCTCACAATGCAGAAGTGACTGAACAAATGATACTCTCATTAACGCTCTGCCTTACCCTGCTGTGCAAGCCAAATCCTTGAACACTAAAAGCACCTCAGTATCAGCTGGGTTCACAGGCATCCAGAGCAATTTTTCAAGCTCCCTGACTTTTATAGACTAGGGGGGAAGGAATTTGGTGTGCTTTAATCCATTTTATTATATGAACTCAGAAATGGTTTTGACTCTCTGGCACTACAAATTAAGCTGGCTGCAGTTATTCTATTCCTGATTATGCTGAAAGTTACTTGCAATAATTTGATGATTATATTTTCTTGCCCTTTTTTTCCCCTCTTTTCCAAATTAACCTAAGAATTTAGTTTCCCTGGTAGTAAGTAAATAATGCAATAAAACTGCAGATAGTAGTCAACACATTCATATCTGGATCCCTGAAATTGTGGATGAACACAGTAAAAGCTCCTGTACTTTGTAGGTGGAATTTCCTGCATTCACTTCCCAGCCCTTCAGACTGGAAGAACATGTTGTATGAGAAAATCAAAATTTTTTGCACTCCTCTGTGTTTTTTTAATCTAGAAGACTAACCACTTTTTAGACATAAGTGAATTCACCTTTGCAAGTCATTAGACAAATACTATCGCACCCATTTTAGAGATTGGAAAACTCAGGTCAAGAATAATTTAGGGATGGAGCTTCTTACCCTAAAAATAGTCCAATCTGTGCAATGCAAGCTACTATTAAGTATATCTAAAGATGGAAAAGAATCTGTTTTATTAGTGTATTCATAAAAATGCTTGGCTCCCCTTCCTTTGCTCTGACCACTGCAACACCTTGTCTCCTAAACCCTGATAACAAACAGAGGGAAAGATGTACACAGACTCGGATTACCTCTGGATAAGTTAGGGGGTATGCTGTACAGTTCAGAGTGTAATAAATAAGTTGCTTCTCTACAGTGTGATGTTATTCTGGGAGTCTAACTGTTCCTCTCTCATTCAGGTGAATTAATAAATGTGACTTTGATGATTTATTTCAGCACAAATTACTTCCCACTATCAGTAAGCATAGCAGAGTCCAGCTCCAGGCTCAATACTCAGGACCTTAACAATTACCGGCTTTTAAAAGCTTCAGTAAAACCTACTTGGAATCCCATCAAATTCAAGTGCCCATGTCAGTTATTCCCAATTATTCTAACTATAAGGACATGTCAGGTACACAAAAGACACGATTCAGACAGCATGACTGCCCTAAAATGATAACTTTAGCATAATGCACTTGACAGTGAAAAAGCAATAATAGCTATTTTGGGAACAAAAGAAAAATACAATGGATCTGATGACTAAGTGTTCTGGTCCCCAATGTAAAAGCAAAGTAGATCCCTGTCGTATTTAACTTGATTCCTTTGAATTAAACATTTCCATTAAAAGTTTCCCACAGTAGCTTTAATATTTAATTATGTATTCCACCAAAGGAAAGAAGAAAATCTTTGCAAAGGGTTTTTTTGTGCATGTGAAATATTTATCAGCATATCTCTTTGGACAAGTATTTTTATCCCCCAGGCTGGGAAATAGCTTCCGTGTACAAATCAGTTTCAAAACATTTTATGTTACAGCTTGAAAGTTTTCTATACTTCAGCACCTCATGCCGTGACTTTGTTATTTCACTTGTTAATGAATGGTAATTAAATCTCTTTTGGCTGAAAAGGTTGGAGGGCTCCTGCTGTATTACAAAAACAATTTCTGAAAGTTACAAAAATGCCCAAGTGTCTAGAAATTAAAGAGTAAAGTTTGCCATGTTTTGAGTCCAAGTTTGAATCACTTGGAAGGATTTATGTGGAAGAACAGCATGTCCCAGTCAGTGTGTACAGTCTCCCCAGTTGAACAGACATAATTATGTCACTTTGTGTCTACCAGAGTAAACAGAATCGCATTCTTAATAACGTACATTGTGGCCACAAACTTCCTTGATCTTACTAACAACTGTAGCAAACACTGCATAAACCCTATTATACACTACCTGCACAAAGAACTGCTACATGTGTACATCTAAGTAAAAACGTGTTAATTTTGCATTTGCTCAGTAGGGCTTGAAACATCAGCCTATTAATTTTTCTTCTTTTCTGTTTTCTCATTTCTTTCAGGTGCTTTGAGTGAGAAAATAAATGGAGTGAGTGCTTACAACAGAGGTAGATAAAGGGGAAATAACTACATATTAAGGCATTTTGTGGTGTTACAGTGCTAAATTGTATTGAAGAGAAATATCTGCATGGTCTCCACTATTCACTTACACCAGTGCAGGCTTCTGCTGGCATCATATGGGCAGACTTGGTCTGCAGCTTGTAAACCAAAACTATGTTAATTCTACTATAAAATGCCTTTTCCTGAAGGCAATACAGTGATTTCAGAGGGAAAGTTGATTCTGAATTTCTTTTAAAATTACAGTTTCTCAAACAACCCAGCACAAATAGAGTTTAGCAAGAAACTGGGAACGTAAATGTGATGAGTCCATTCCTAAGCTGTAACTTTGGGAAGGGGTCTGCTGAGAGCAAAGCCCCCTCCAGTGAAGCGAGGAACATCAGACCTGTGGCGTGGAAACTCAGGCTCCATGTCAGTCAAGGATCGCTCCTTCTCCCTTTAAATAGAAACAAAGAAAAGGAAAATACATATTTCATTCTGCAGCCCAGTGATGTTTACAAACTAAGGAAATCTGTGTCCTCCAAAGTTTCTTTGATGCAGCCACGTATCAAGAGTTCATTGAAAAATTGCTGATTAAAGGCTGTTAGGATAAACTGCCAAGACTAGGTATCTGTTTGGAGCTAATTACAAGCCTACTGATGGTTTTTGGAATTATTAAAAACTAGAAATAAATGAGCTTTCTTCGTGCTACTCCCCAAAATGGTCAGAGCACCTCATTAGAGCAAGTTTGTCCATAAGCTCCGTGACTTCAGATTTCTAATCACCATCCCATTCTAGAATGTATATGCCTGTTTTCAAACAAACAGCTACATTCATCAAAGGCGCAATGGAGAGATATTTTTTCTTTGTTGAATTTTAATGAATAAATAGTGTTATCTGTCTTCACTTTTTAACAAAGTTCTAGTGATAATTACCCTGCCTGTGACATCCGCAGAAAACTAAGTGTGCTGTGCGTGCACTGATAGCCCCAGGAAGTTGCTCTGTCTGAGGATCCAGAGGGCTTGAATTTGATGGCCTTAAGAGGGGGGAACAAGGGTTAGCTGGTTCCACTCTTATGAGGTTGGGGAGGTAAGCACAGCAGAACAAATACGAAGGGCAGTATTTCAAACTTGCTGTATATACCTGGAGGTTTCAGAGAAAGGTCCTGAGATATTTAAAATTAACGAAGTGGAGCTTTATGAAGTACTAGTTTATCATAACAGCAGAGGTCTCAAGGCTTTACAAAGAAGGTCAGTGCCATTACTTTTATTTTACAGTCATTGAAACTGAGAAACAAATGTGAGCGCAACCACACTTTTGCAAAATCTAGCCTTATCATATTAGTGACCTTTCTCAGTCCCCAGTAAGGGAAAAGAAAACACTTCCTGGAATTAATATTTTTCTCTTTGTCCCTAAATAACTGTGTCAGGAGAGGAGGAAGTTCCGAGAAACCCTGTAGGATGACTAGTTATGCTTCCTTTTCCAAATTTAACCCATATGGAGGTGGGAGAATAGGCAAAAGATGGCACAGATGAACTTAACCATGAAAACCATTTATAATTGCTTTTAATTGTATCAATGTAGCACTAATGGATATGCCATCTGACAGCACTAAAAACTAACATGCTGTATTTATATGGCTCATCCTATCTCACTATTGGGCTTCCAACTTTGGGGAGAGAAAATGATCCAGAGTCCATGCTCTTTCTTTCTTCATGCTCCCATGGAGTCAGCCAACAGATGCGCTCATCAGTATGGAAAATTCTATGCAGCTGAATACTGTAATATATTATGCAGAATTAATGTGCAAGTAGCCACGTGCAAAAGCTCCACTTACTACTGATATCCCTCAGTGCAGCTATTTACATATATAGGACTGCAGGATCAGGTCTCTGGTGTGGATTTATGTGTCATATTTTCTCACCGATCCTTATTAAGAACAAATTGGAACCCTGGTGCTAGAAGCAACTAGGAAAAGTAGTGAAGCAGAAAGGGTGCAAGAAGCAGAAGGAGAGAATGGGAAGAGTGCGAAAAAGAAAGCCTAAGACATCTGGGAAAGACAACATTCAGAATCAGAGAGCAGAAAAAGGATTTCAAATTCACAAGCAAAATTTTAAACATTGGATTTTCAGTTTGAACACAAAACAAAGCTAAATTCCTGTTGTCACTCAATATATTCCTTCAGCATCCCATGGAAAGCTGCATTAGTTCAGTATCAAGACTTTAAATCACAAACCAGAACTGTCTTGTGCAAATCAATAAAAGCTTTAGATGATACCTTTGTGTGAGGTTATCTGAGAGTATTAATTCTCTTTCATACCATAGTCAATAATGCTATTAATGCTATTGTCCCGACAGGATCCTCTTTTTATTAGCAAAACCAGCCACATTTATTTCAGACATGATGTTAACATTAGCCAGCATGATAGAGATCAAGTCAGTGGTTTTGTGTCAGCTGGGATTGAGAGCAACCTGAGACTGTATGAATCAAATGGCTCTGGCTCTTTAGCTAGCATCTACACACCAGGCAGTGCCTGTCCAGCCCAGTCTGAGGCAGGAATGATGTGGAATGGCTGTATGTCAGGGGTGAAGAACTTCTTCCGGAAGGATCTGGCTGCACAGCAGGCTCTCTCTAGTGCAGAAAGCAAAAGACGTCACGCACAATTGGCAGTTTGGAGAAGGAAGGCTGCACAATGACGTCGTTTCCTTTGCACTGCTGCTGGGCAACACAAAGCACAGTCTAGAGATTACAGAAGCTGCAGTTATCCAGGACTGATGTGGCCAGTTATGCCTTGGGGTGTGCATATCCTTCAAAGCAGGATGTAGTCCAACAGGTTTGACTGGGGAAAAAAACAATGATGAGGGACAGAGAGTAAAGCCCAGCACCTGGCCACCTCTCAGCTGCCAGAAAGACAAGAGAAGTGCAAGTCAGGGCTGACAGCACAGCGCTGGTAGCTTCTGAGCCTGAGGTGGGAGCAATCATCCTGCAGAAGCACCACAAACAGCATCTGAATGTACTTCCAAAACATAGATGTCGCAAAGACACCATGCTTATCAGACTATACCCATGCCTGCCCACAAGAACAACAATCTGACAAGCTGCACTAATGGCACATATCTATCCTGAACCTATAAACAGTGTAATGAGTCCGGCACTAATTGACCTGCAACATGAAATTCCATTCACTGTGTATGATTAACAGACCCAAGTTCAGTCACCATCACCTTGCACAATATTTTTGTTTTACTTTAAAGCAGTTATGCCCCTAACAAGTTGGATTTTTTAACAGTTATGACAGGAATTAATTCTAGGTATGATATAACAACAAAACATGGGTGAATTTCTTCTCATCTGATGAACAGAAAGAAACATGATGCCAGGGTCCAAAATGGAAACATTAAAACTATTGTGAAGAGGATACTTAGCTGCTGGAAATGGATTATCAGGCATTATGGTAGACTCACATATTGATCCTAAAGCTCCAGGAAGGCCATTAGCACTGCACAATTGTTGCTAATTCCAAACATTAAGGTAACATTATGCAATTTGCAGATGGACAAAAGTCACTGTTTATCACTGACTATTTTGCTAATTTAGTCATCAAAACTGTTTGCTGGCTGAAATATGATTAAGGAAGAAACAGATACAGGCAGCTTTGAATTATATTCAGCAATGTAGAGAACCGATGGCTTTGGTGTGTGAGGAAGGGGCAGGCTGAGGATGGAAAGGGATGGAAAGACAAAAGGCATACACAGAAAAAGTTGGTAACAGATCATGTCATCTGACTACAGAAATCTAAGAAACTTCTCTTTAAAAGGAAAGTCCAATAACTTCATTTTCAGAAGAGACTAATAGTTTTGGTGTCCCAGCTTGGAGATTCATTATCAGAATAGTCTCATCTCAGCCTCTGCAAATTAGGTCACTTTAAATGGGCCAGAAATTGGGCAACTAAGATCCTAGTCATTTTCTTTTAATCAAGAGGAGCAGCTGAACTCTCAGTTGTGGACTGAGAGTAGCAGGGAGGTGTCATCAAACTACTATTGGTTAAGGAGAGACAACAACTACGTACAGGAAAGTTCTTAGGCTCTACCATCAAAAGGGTAAGACATCTGACAAAGCCAGACTCTGAGCTCACTTTCCTCCATCTGGATGTAGGAAGGGAACAAGAAGCGGATGGGGAATGCTCTTCTCTGCAACCATTGGCAATGATATCTGCCGCCAGAAGGGGATAGTCATCAGTCACAACTACCACATTTTGGAAACAACAACAACATTGTTCTTACACCAGGATTACGTAGTTGCCACATGAAGAAAGGTTGTCCCCCATATAAGATGCTGTTTCATTACAATTGTAACTTGTAAAATGAGGTCCTCATATGCTTGAGGATCTCTCATTCGACGTGAGAGACGAGACACTAATCTGTGTCCTCTGGGCACCATCTCATTGGTATGAATAATTTAACTGGACTGCAGAACATGTCAGCAACATCTCTGCTGGATGTTCTTGTCCTGGCCATAGATCATGGTAAATCTAGACCAGACTGAAGTAATATGAAGGATAACATTCAGGAAAATTGGGCAACAATATTATATCACCTCAGTCAAATTTGGCCACATTCTGATCAAAAGACTAAAGCAGGGTCTAAAAAACACCTGGTTTATGCAGAAAGTTGTGTAGACAAAACTGTTATTTTCCCATACCTGGCCTGTTGTTCCCTGCGTTTCTGAGCCAGATATTTCTTTTTCACATTCAGAAGCTCGTTGGCAAGTCTTTCAATTTCATATTTGTATTCTTGGGTTTGTGATTCATACATATTCAATTCTGAGGACAAAACCTAACAAACAAAAGGCAAAAAGCAGAAAGAGGAGATGTTAGTTTCACTTATGCATAAGTTAGTACTTTTACACACACTTTTTCCTTTCACATTTGACGATATAAGACATCACCATTTTCCACCCCATCTCATTTTCTATCATGATGTTTCATTTGATCACCTCTGCTCACCTAACGACAATTTACAGAATTAAGGCTACGCCATTTAACGACAATAAAACATGTAAAATATGCCCCAAGAATTATGGGAATGGTGTTAATACATACATTAGCTCTTAATGTTCTGGCACACAAACCTGGGTGAAAACCCAAAATAAAGATTTTAAAAAATAATAAAGAAGGATTTATTTAATAATAATGGGTTTTATTCACAGCGATCCACTTTGTCACATGAAGTAATTAAATCCACACAGGCAAAGTAGTACCAGGCAGTGTAAATATGAATACAATGCTGCTTTCACGTGAATCAGTAAACTTTAAAAAACAGTAGGAGCATGCATAGTATGTTTTCCTTCTTTAAGAAGGAGAATAGCTTGACCTGGCACCACAAAATGGCATGCAAGTCAGTATGCTACAGCATACTGTGCCTGAAATACACAGTAGCAATTGACTGCATTAAGGACAAATAGAAACCGTACAGAAAACTTCAAATCACATTCAGTTTAGCTAAACTTTGGCTTCTATTTTACATTTTCTACATTGTTTTTCTTCTCCATGGAAAGCTAAGATTTGCATAACAGCCTCTTTGTTTCCTAAGGGCCCATCTGCTCCTGCATTTTTTTCCTCATGGTTAGTATAGACGTGATTATGATGCAGTGAACAGGAGATGATGACTTCAACAGAGAGAGGAGCTGTAGAAGTAGATGAACTCCTGGGGAGACTGATCTTTTATGCAGGCAAGAACAAGGGAAGATCAGCTTATTCTATCAAAGAATCACTTTTTAATATCGTGCTTTCAAAGTTTCCCACAAGATTTCTTCAGAACCAGGAAATCCTCCCTTCTAGTGACAAGGGGTTAGGACAGGTTACTCCTGCCATCCCTATAAAAGTTGCAAGTCTAATATACGTGTACACATTGCAAGAGAAATAACAAGAATTTAAGACTGGATTCTTAATATATTCCCACTAGTTTGTTAAAAAGAAAACGAAATAGCTTTGATTTGCTTATTAAAGATCTTAACAGTTCAAGAAAAGGGAAGAAGAATAAGCTTAATGGAAAACTGATGGTGTCCCAGAATGCCCACGCACAAAAAGCATTTACAGCATTGTGCTGCACACTCATATTCTAATAAGACTTTTCCTCTATTTTAATGAAACAAACTAGCATAATGTGAAAAAAAGTTCTTCTACTGTTATTGGTTCTCCCTTGGTGAGATGCAGCATTAATCTTTTTTCCCTGATCTAATATACTAAGGCATGCACACCGATCATTTAAAATCTTCCTGAAGCCTCACTCCCCAGGATCACTGGTGAAGTCATTCTGCAATCCTGGCAGCCCCTCAGCCAGAGATAAAGGGCATCTCTTACTTTCAGCTGTTTAGTCTTCTCTCGGAGAGTGTGCCGGTAGAGCTGCAACTGTTCTGCGGCTTCAGGCCCAGGCTGCCGGGCCAAGACATGCTTCAATTCCACATACAGTTTTTCCTTTTCCTAAGAAAAAGAAAAGAGGAAGAGCTCTTATAAAACTAATATAGCAGCAGCACAACCTGTGATGAAATCAACCTCACTGAAAAATGCAACTCAATCAGGAAGACATTTGCAGAAACAAATCTGCCTGTGTGTCAGTCTTTCCTCACTAGCCATAAGGTATTTAAAGTTGTTGTGATAGCAGTGGGAGAGCTCATTAAGAGAAACATCCAGCTACTTCGAACCACGAATGAAATACTCTTAAACACTGTCATCAGTGAGCATGCTTTACCACAGAGAACATAAAACAGTCACTGGAAAAGTATCCAGGGGTGGGAAATTAATGACTAGTAACTGTGCTTATTGCAATCTTTCTTCTTATGAGCCACATTGCCGTACATTAAAGTTCATAGCTTCACCCAACAGGATGTGAGCAGGCTACAGAAATGTCAGGGAAGGACTGTACAAAAGAATAACTTCTTCCAAAGAAAATCCTGCAAAGCACAATTTCTCTTTGTCATGTGTCTCCTCTTCCTTTGTGTTGGAACAGTATACTTGTGGGAATTGGATATAGCCATGCCAGAACAGAAACCACACCATGGACCCACGTACAGCTTTCTGTATTGAAAGGTTGCTTTTTGTGTTTGAGGATGTACTTGGTTTTAGTCGGAGGAATAAAGCACTGAACAAAGCCACCTTCATAGCTTTGCACATTACAGTATTTTTAGTATCTACCCTGTCAGACTAAGATTGTTATTATTTAACATTATTTAGCAAGATCCCATCCTTGTCTGGTACCTGGAGAACTGAAATTAAAAAGAAGGGTTATTTGACTGGAAGTTGGACTAGCAGACAAAAGATTTAACTGAAGAAGACAAAAATGCCAAGTAGGAGGTAGGATAGGTGACTATTTACACTGGCTTTGCCAAAACCCTTTTTGCCGTCTCTTTTATAAGCTCTGTCTACAACTCTTACCCCAGAATTCTTCCATCAATGTGGGAAACGGTGCCATCACATCACCTAGAATTGCTACATTTCGCCTTCCTCAGTGGTTAAGCCAGAATTTTCAAAAGTGGCTTGTTATTTTGAAGATATAAAATTATAGTTTTCAAGAGCATAAGGAGTCCAGAGTTTTTAGACCTCAGCATTTTCTGAAAACCATGCACTATAATGGTCACCAGTTGGGACCCAAAAATGGAAGCACTTCAAATCATAAATTACTTTTGCAAGCATTGCCCTTAAACTCTGAATAATACTGAAGAAGACTTCTTTATAAATGAAGTTGTTCACAGTTTACCTCTGGAAAAATCAAAACCTCCTGAGACTCGGACTGAAGTTTGCATAGTGGCAAAAATTAAATTGAGAATTCATTCTCAGTAGAGAGTTGTTATGTTACTACAAGTGGTTTCCGCTACCACCTTTTCTTCCTGAGGAAGCAAGATTTTACTGCAAGTTAAAAACAACAGCAAAAGAAAAATCTGCCTTGTCAAAATCTGGCCGGTCAGTATTAACATTCCACCCCTGAATGTATCACAGATTTGTATTTTGGAAGAGTGTTAACGGTAATTTGGATAAATATGGAGCAATTGATGGATAGAAGGTCTTATGTGCAATTGTTTTCCAATTTATTTCTCTCTTAACCCTCTACAAGGGCCAACCAAGCTCTTCAAACATTGTGCAATGGTGTGTATAATAACCCCATTTAGAGACAAAGCGTGCAATTCTATTATAAGGAGAATCTATCTTACGCAACAGAGACTCGTTAGCTGTCCGATGTATATTGTCTCCATAATCCAACAGAGGCAGAACCAGCTGTCTTATAATGCATATCCTGTCCTTTCTTGCGAAGCGCTGTCCATCTCTTTTACATCTAGTCAATTAATTTGTCACTGGGTTAGAAGCACCATATGTCAGCAAAACATTAAAAGAAAAATCCTGGATACTTCCTTCCTCATCAGCAAAAGTTTATATTCACAGGTTGGCATGCCTATAATTTCTGACATTTTACCCCAGGATGCAAAAAAAAAAAATCAATTAATTTCAATTAATTTTAAAACAGGAACCACCAGAGTAAATCTAAGTCAATTAGAAGGTACATGTGATACTACCACCAAAAATGCATTTCTTAAAGCAGGTACTTTTATCTTTACACATAAAAAATCAGGAATAAAAAAAACAGCACAAAATAATAAAGAAAAATTTTGGCTTCTACCATACTCTAGCTGTATTGAAAGGACAGACAAGCTGTGCAATGTGTATTACATGCAGATATCTTATAAATAGCCAGCTATCAGATACAGCATAGAACATGTAGAAAGACCTGTAGGGTTGTCTGATGTGTGAGTTGTATTCAAAGTAGCTTTCAGTTGCAGTGCATAAATTAATACCCCCAGAAGATGGATCTATGTTGCTTTTTTGTTTTGGAAACAAGTAAAATGCACGCGCATTCCTTAGAACGTCTGAGAACCCAGTGGGGCTGGATGGAAAGAAGGTATCCTGACACTGACAAAAAAATCATAAGTCGGCAATGATGATCAGCAATGTAGCAGTAATTCAAAAACAAGAGGGTAAGCTGATCTGTTTGGTGCCTACTGTAAGTCAGCTAACATTATTTTGTCCAAAGTAGAAGTCAGTAAACTCCATTTATTTCTGTTGGTGGCTGCGTAGATGGTGTTGGACAAAAAGCTACCTGAAATCCTACACCTATTGGGCAGGAATAAGTCAATCCATTATAGCATGTGTAAGATGGGTTTCTTTGGCTTGTCCCAAACTGCCTTCCCTCACACTTCCCTCCGTCCTCATGCCAGGCTGCAATCACAATGTACATCTTGCCAGAGTTACACGTTCTTGAGATGAAAAGAACTTAAAGTGACAAACACACTGCGAGGCACTACTCTTCTTCTTGAGGAGGTGAAGGAAGATCCATCAGATCTCTCTATAACTCCATGCTGTTAAGCCCTCACCGGTAAGAGTAATGTACATGTCTTCAGATCAGGTCTAGGCCAGTACCAAAGCTTTTTATGTGACCCTTCCCACAGCAAAATTCCCATGGAACTCAGCAGGTGTTTGACTGTAGGACTGAGCCCATAATATCAACCAGCTTCATTGGTTTATGGCATAAACTAAGCCAAGCCGATGGTGGAGAGATGAGGGCACATTCATTTTGTGTATGTAGGGCACACTGGGAGACTCAGATTGAGGGTTACAGTCAAATTTCAGGCATTCCAAAGAGAATTTCAGCGCCTCTGTGAATACCTGCTGCAAAAATTGTGTAAATAAAACTCCACATTATTTTCAGAACAGCCCTTCCTGTCTTAGATTTGTTTTCCAGGAGAGCTTTGAGGAACCCACAGATCTGGGCTCAGCCATAACAACATGTTTCTGCATCCCTAGGTCTCTTGCCTATTAATTCGGAGGGGGGGGGTATTGTTGCTTTCCCCTAAATTTAACTAGCTGCTGTCTCAGCCAGAATCTGGAGTTCTCCTGGCCTGCTTGCTCTACAGTGAATTGAGAAAAAATAATTTGCTTCTGCAGTGGAATGGTGGGTGTTTGGCAAATTTCAGTTGCTTCTTCAGGATTCAGTGGACACGAGTTTGCTCGGTCTACAGCAAGAAGAATCACTTTTGCCAGCACGGTCCTACTTCAAAAGAAGCTATTGCTGCTGACCAGCACAGCCCAATTTGCTCGTTGTTCCCTGCCAGAGGACCATCAGCCCCATCAGACACATTCCCAAAATGACACCAAGGCATTTCACTGCTTTGACAAGGAGTGGGAAGCAGTCAGCAATGCTGGGATAGACCAATGTGCTGGGTATTAGCTCTAAAGATGAGACTTCATTTTATATCATCTTCTCCCTCACCACGACACTAGGAAACTCCTGAAATGACCCATCTTGTTAGTTAGCCCAGGTTAGTATTCTGAGCCAGAGACAATGGATGACCGTACATTTAATGAAGATGTATTCACAGCAGAAATAGGCCGTAAGTCCTTGTTTTTATCAGCTTGTCTTTCCAAGTAGATAATTCAACAAATTTACCTGGCATAGCAGCACACCAACAGCCTTCTCCACCAGACCCACAAAAATCCTATTGTGCACCAAAAGCTTTCTATCATGCAAATTCTTACAAAAACCTACACACAAAAAATCCTAAACCCTTTGACTCAGAGTAAATTTCATTTATGTTATCTCCTGTCTCCAGCAATTGAGCTAAAGAAAAAAACCCAACAAGATAAAGATATAGAGCAATAGTGTGCAAGGTAGTGTATGGTGGCAAACCCCAAAACATTTAACCTAGCTAAAAATTCTTACTTTAATTAGTAAGGCGGAGAAAGCAACACAGTAACTGTAAGCACACTACAGTTCCTCATGGCTTTGGTGAGGAAAACAAGTCAATCAATGTGCCACAGGGGGTTTCTTGTTTATTGGCATTATAACCAAAATGTCAGCACTATGCTGAACTCCAGAGCCATTTTGTTTATGATGCCATGCAGCAGCAGAGCATCCTTAAGGGGCTGTGATCCATTTTCAGAAATGTTAAACAGGACACTGAAATCTGAATTAAATACATACATAGACATACATAGTCATTTACATGACATAGTCATTTTACCTGTATAAGCTGCACACTTATTTGTGTGTATGTGTATACCTAATAGAGTAGCTGTTGGCTCAGAACATCTATGATTAAAAGTTTTATGAGGTGTAGAACAAATTAGCATACAGTAACCTTCACGAATTTTGTAACAATAGAAGAAAGTTGCCTCCAGCACTGAGAAATGTGCAGTATAAACTTTCTCAATAAACACTTTTCAAAAGCTCCTGCTCTTTCTTGTCTATTCCACATCCATCAGCAAACACTTTTGCAAGCATGCAGCTCCCTAGAACAGCTTTTATTTTCATCATCATCTAGACCCTCCTTTAACTATCCAGTGTGAGGCTTTTCATTGGGCAAATTAACTCAGGTTTGAAACAAGGCACTGAAGTTCTTTCACAATGTGGCCACACTAATACTGCATGAGACGCT